TGATTATCTGTATTTCAATATCTAACTTTGAGAAAAAGTTAACTCTATTTCCAAACGATTTATTAACTGAAATATTTACTGATATACGGAACACATTTGTAATTGACACAGTCTCTTAATCTTTTTCTTTTCAGTATTTCCATACCAGTGTTCAACTTCACCTACAGTGCCACTTGAGAACTCCTTTTCTACTGATCTTTTGCATATTTACACCCACTGTTAAAGCCATCCCTACAGCGGCAGGGGGAGTAGAGGATGGAATAACTCCCATGGAATATAAAGCATTAATTCAACTTTTTGCAGTACTTCCCTAGGCAAAAAAAAAATCTCTCCACTTCCCAAACAACAATTATTTTTAAAGCCTGTGTGAATTCTAAAAGGATGATCACATATTTGGATGTAACAGTTTTATCAAATTGCTACAGTAGCACCAGTCACTTGACACACTAGTGGTGTCCGAAGGCATAAATTCACAGTACACTGTTCCTCACACTGTCACAGAATTAATGACTCTAATATACCACAATTTATTAAAGATAGTAAAATTGCCAATCACACTTTCTTGGCTTAACTCAGAAGTTCCTTGACGTATCCACTTAATACACATAATCAAGCATATATTCTGCCCAGGTGAACCTCATCTTCAGAATACTCCAATGAAAACATTTTTCTCCACAATTCTCTATGACCCAGCAAATACCAGAAGTTTAAAATTTGACATCAATTAGTATGTTATTGTGTAAATGTTATTTAAATACCAACTGCAGGAAATCAGGGGAAAAAATGAGTCTTTTCTTTTTCTATTTTCCACATAACACAAAGTAAAAATACTAAAGATATCTGACTGATCAATCCCAAAATCAGATTCCTTCACAGGCAAAGATCAGCACACCTGGATCAGTGATTAAACTAACGAGATTTTATTAAGCTATTTACTGGTTATGAAATAAAATGCCACTAATCAGTCATACTAGTCTGATTAATAAACCTGGAATTATAATTACATAGTTACATAATTGTGAGTTATTCCCACTTTAGGTAAAGCCATGAATTACTACAACAAAAGAAAAGCAAGCAGGCAAGCAGTGTCCCTATGCCTTCAATTTACAATGTATAACATGATATACACTTATTCCAGGAGTATTTCCAACATGAAGACATTTCAAACCTCCTCTACTCATTCACTAACAATTTTTTAAATATATGCAACCTGTACCCACATATATCCCTACATATGTAGTCCACAACTGGAAAAAGTCACCATGTTCTCATACCAGTATCATTCCAAATGTAAATTACAAGGAAAGGTAAATAGGTAAATTTATATGAACACAAAGTATTTCTAACTAGAAGTCAACATCTAAGTGCTTGTAATTTATATGCTCATGAGTTTTAGGGATGAAAGATACCAGAGCCAACTGCTGGAAGGTTACAATCTAATTTGGCATAAAGGTACAAAGGTAGAGATGCCAAGTTGTCAAAAATCCACCATGGGCGTTGGCACTGTCCCATTTGGGACAACTGCATCACAAGGAGGGCCTGATTAGAATCCCAGCTACCCTTTGCCACCAAGCTTCCTGCCAATGCACATGGGAGACAACACAGATTGGCCTAAGTACTGGGTTGTGCCACCCACATGGGAGACATCCACAGAGTACCTGCCTCCTAACTTCAGCCTTGCCTCAGCCTAACTGTCTGGGATATTTGGGGAGTGAATCAGCTAACTGAAGGTATTTCTTCACTTCTATCTCGTCATTTATTACTTATGCAATTAATTAGCTTTAAATTCAGAGCAGGATGCTTATTTCACTAAATTATATTAGCCTGCTTTCATTAAGACATGTACTACTTGGGGCCAGCACAGTGGCTCCACAGGCTAATCCTCTGCCTTGCAGCACCAGCATCCCATATGGGCACCAACAATTCTAGTCCAATCTGCTCAATTTCCCATCCAGTTCCTGCCATGGCCTGGGAAAGCAGTGGAGGGATGGCTTAAGTTTTTAGGACCCTGAAACTCTGTGGAAGATCCGGAAGAAGCTACTGCCTCCTGGTTTTAGATCAGCTCAGATCCAGCCATTGCAACTATTTTGCAACCACTTGGGGAGAAGGAAGACTTCTTTCTCTCTCTCCCCTTCTATGTAAAAATGTCTTTCAAATAAAAATACAATAAATCTTGAAAAAGAAAATTTCTCTCTCTCCAAATGCTGAGGTCACATTTATAGTAACATTTCTTATTATTTTCCTTTAAGATAAATTTTTATAAACCCGTTTTTGAGTATCAAGTGACTTAATATTTTGTCAAAAATATTACCCCTTGGATCTAAATCATGCATTCCAACTTTAAGATACATTACACTAACCCTGCATATCAGAAATATTTTAAGTATTAATTTACTTTCTATTCATATATTTTAAAATGAGGAAAAGCCATTAGCAGAATCCCAAGAAAATTTAAAGGTTTTCTGCTTCCCTTAAATAGCTCAATACTTGATTTCTGAGTTTTCTCTACTTTTCAGCATTTAACTATTTCCATAGAGAGGTTTTAACAATTGTCTTCTCACTACTGTCACTGGATCTGCCAACATACAATTTTATTCCATAATATTAATTTATAATATTAATAAATACAGATTTGTAAGTTAAATATTATCAGAAAAAGCTTCTAAAAGAGTCAATAAGCCTATAAGGAAACCATTAAAATCAAACTTGTACATCACACTCTATTGAGTCTAATAACTTACAAATATTTTGTAATTATTTGCTTTCACCCCGTCTTCAGACAAAAGTACATGAAATGTTAAATCACACTGTTGAAATAATTTTTTTTCAAATAATTTTTTAAAAAACATCTAGTCAGGTTCAGTTGCGACAAAAAAACCAGTGCACATTATGGAATGCTAAGGTGAGGTTACCTGTACTGGATGTGACTGCAGTGCCCAACCAGCACGCATGAGAACCAGGAAGGGAGGGGGCAAAACCGGCAGGGGGATTATAGGGGTGTTCCCCTGCTGGACAGCTACTCCCACTGGAGAGCGTGAGCTGGGATGGGGGCAGACCAGACTAGGCAGGGCTACAACACCTGGTACACCTAATGTAGACTAGATCAGGCAAAAGCCAGACTGGGCTGATTATTCCTACTGGTGCAAACCAAAATTAAAGTTGGTGAAGGTTGGTTGGGCTTAGTCGCAGCATCAGCTGGCAGAAGCTGGCACTGGGGGCTAATTCTGTCAAGTTAAATCGCAGAACCACCTAGAGAGTGCATAATCCTGGACTGAGAGAAACCTGGGAGGGCAATAGTGGGCTCCTTCCTCTTGGGTTACCGCCCTCCCATGGAAAGGCATGAAAACCAGGACAGTGGCAGGGGTGGCTAGACAGAAAGGCACCCAACAGCATGTGTGTGGACTGGATATTGCAGCTGATTAGATGGAACTAGGCTTCAATGCTCACTGACATGTATGAGAGCTCAATGGGATGTGGGACAGACTGGACTAGTCTGCTGCACATACTGGCAAACCAGGATAAGCGGCAGGCCTGGTAGGGGTTATTGTGGGTCGCTCTGACTAGGCTGCAGCTCTCACTGGTTTATGTGAGGGCTGAGTGTGTGCTGGGCAGAACCAGGCTGGACTGCAACACCCATTGGTTCCAGTGGAAGACAACGCTGGAAACAACAGACCCAGCAATTGCAACCACCAGCTGATGGGGCAATGGACTGTGCTGGGTCCTATAGTCTGGGATCACCTCAAAGTTTCTTTGGGGATCTCCCCAATCGAACTGCCAGACTTGGAACCCTAACCATGAAAAGACAGAGGACAGAACAAATCAATCAACCACCTCAGCCATATGTTGGCAGTGAAAAACAGGACAAACGAAGACTCTATGATGGGCTGTGTCAATCAGTGGATTCTTCAACGATCTCATCATGCTTGGAGTGGCAACATTGGCAGCAATTCAGAACTGTTTAATTATCAAAACCACTTGAGCAAGGCCCTCAGAGCATGCCCCATATCCAGGACCTGGGGTGAGTGGGAAATTGGGTTGGGCTTCTCTCCTAAAACCCCCTTACCTCAGATACATGAAGGAGACAATGTGGAAACAATGGTCTTACCCACTTTCCTGTAGCCCTTGAACTTTTTTACCCTAATTAACTATGTAAAGATTGCCAAAAATATAATTAAAAAATGGAAAAAGTTAAAAAAAATCTAGTTTCCCTAATACATAAAATGTACACAATTAATGTATACAACTCAAATGAGTTGGGGGTCCATGCATATACACCATGAAACCAATACTACCACAGTCTTCCTGAACTTCATTTTATACTATCCTCTGATCAGATCTTTTGCTAAAAGCACCTGGTCATTTTCTCTAAAATTAGTATTTTCCTTTCTTTCCGGGCCTTCCTCCATTACTTAGAAAATAGAATAATTTTATAATTTTAATCTCCACCAAGATTAGGCAGCAACATAATTCTCACTAAACTCAAAGGCATCAAACTATTCAACTGGCCACAGAATCAGTCCCTATAAACTCTTCCCCAAGTCTACACAGAGCTTATTAACCTCAATTCCAAATCAAATTCAATTAAGTTGATAAATGAAGACATGTTAACACCTGGGCCAATTTAAAAACTTGAAACCTTTAAGTCTGCCTTATAATGAGGAATTTAAGACTCTTTGAAATGCAGACAAAACAATCAAAAAATAAAGGCATGATTTACATACCTACAATGGATCACATTATTGGCAACTGTAACATTAAATTACATCTTAAATATAGGCTCCATTAACATAAAGGGAAGGGTAAGCAGCAGGATTTTATCCCTTCACATAAAATCTATTACATGCACAGAAATCAAATACAATTTCACATTAGAAAAATAAGAGGATAAACAAAATGGCTGGGGAAAAAACTGTCCCCCCTCCAACTTGATACTACAAAGTAATAATCCCAGCATCACCATCAAATTCCCAATAGTGTCACTCCAATTTCAATTCACCCACCTTTCTTCTCTGAGAGATGTTGAGGGCACCAAAATCATTAAACAAGGATGAAGCAGGTGAAGTGAGAGGATCTGGAAGGTAAGTCACATTAAGTTTCCACACAGATAACTCAGGCAGCCTATACACCTAATAAATGTTCACCTTGATAATAACAACAGCAGTAATAAAAATTGTCATAATATTACACTCAGTGCTTTAAAATCATAGACTGTTCAAATTTCACAGTAATTTCTGAATGAAATGAGTACTTAATTCACTCACTATCCAATAGTTATTCAGAATCTACCTGAATCAGCACTCATCTGACTGATTAGAACCAAAAGAAAAACCAAATACAGGAAAAAAGACTCTCAACTATTTTACTTGGAGTATGTTTTTAAAGGCAGTAAGTCTACCAACGATAAGTAAATGTATTCTTGCACCCAAATCTTAAGAATAAAAAAGGAAATGAGGTGTCAACCTTGCTGTGAGAGACCCAGACTTGGAGTTAAACCTTGGCAAAGTCTGAAAATCATGTACTCTACAAACTAGTTTATATTTTTAGGCTTATCATGAGAAATCTGATATTCTTATTAAAATACAAAGTAAATTATTAAGTTTTTAAAGATGAAAATAATAAATGTTTCAATACAAACATGAAATCCAAAGGTGTTAAAGTTTCAATATTTTGAGGCAGGGTTAAAAACAAAACCGTATCACTTTACAAATCTAAAGAGTTTCTAAAGGGTACACATGAGATACATGGAAATATTTTCGCTTCATCTCTAGATTTAAATGTTTCTGAATCTCATTAAACTGCCCACAGAGTCTTTAAAAATCTATAAAATGCCCTCATTTAAAGGAATCTTACACAGTAAAGACTGCTACTTAACAGCTCTACTTCCTACCTAGCCATGAACTGTCAAGATGTAGTCCTCCATTAGAATTAACATGAATTCTGGGCCAGCATTGCAGAGCGGCACATTAAGCCACAGCATCCCTCATAGACAAAGGTTTAAGACCGGGCTGTCCCACTCCCAATTCAGCTTCCTGCTGATGCGCCTGGGAAAGCAGAAGACTGCTGAAGTTCTCAGGCTCCTGCACCCATGAGGGAGCTCCTGGTTCCTGGTCAAGCCCCAGCCTCTGCCACCATGTGGAGAGTGAACCAGCACCCGGAAGATGGCTACCTCTCTCTCCCTCTCCTTCTCTTTCTCTAAGTCTGACTTTCATACAAATCTTTACTAAATCAACATGAATTTTACATTAAACAATGGAAAAGGAAACTAGAAAAAAAAAATACTTCATATAATTTATCCTTTGAGGACACTTGTAGACATTACTGGTGAATAACTGTAACATTCAGAAACCAGAAATACTAAACTCCAAGGAAATACTAGAAGCAGACAGTGCCACAATTTAGTTTTGAATAATTTTACTCAATACTGAAATGCTCAAAAATCCTAACAATGAAAATTTGATACCCTAACACAAAACAACTATCCTAAGAATACACATGAAGATGTTTATACTGACACTTCACTATTTCAAAATACTAACATTCAACTTTCCAGTTTTTAAAAAATTATTGTTCAGTATTTTAAAAATAGAAATTACTCTAATTGAAACACAGAAAACTAAATTAAAGTCTTAAAAATATTCATAATTTGAATAATTCCAATTCTTAAGATGTACCCGAAAGAACTAATTTCACAGGTTCACATACATAGTACACCAGAACATAATAGTTTTTAAAAGTAGTTAAATACAAACTATGAACATACACAATGAAGCTGAATTTATAGTGATGAAAGAAGCAATCAATTTAAAGCTAAAGATGCAGGATTATAATTTGCATAGAAAAAAAATCAAGGTATATAAATTATAATTCATTTGAGTAAGATGATAACAATTACATTCTCTCATACTTGTTTACATTTTTCAGAATTTTTACGAGTGTATTGCTTCCAGAGTAAGTACACACATACACACACACACAAAGGAGCCAGGCTCTTACCGTGACCTGTATATGGCTTGGCACTATCACTTAGAAGGCTCGGGGAACTGCTACTATTAGTCATTCTCTAAAAGACAAAACACATACACACATTATCATTGAGGATACAGAATTTAAAATATTCAACAAATTAAAACTGACCACCCTTGCTTCTTCCCTTCCAATTCATCTTTTACATGTCTGACTAATCTTCCTATAGATATTGCTGCTTGTTTTATAACTATCTACAGAAACTTCCAAACGTAACTATAATGCATCAAATTAAAGTTTTACTTACTAGCTAGGTGCACAAAGCCAAAGTTGCACACTTAATCAGAACTGTATTTCCATAACCTGTCAGCTTGGGAATAACATATCAACAGTAAGTTTGCCTGTCCAAAGAGTATAAATCCCAAGATCCATACATGGGGGTATAAAGTAATTATGTAATCCGTAAATGTTCTAATATCTTCACTCAATTTGTATCATCCTGCACACACTTTATTCACCTATGGAATTGGGCTATTTTCTTTCCTCTAAACAAAGTCTTTGTTTTCTTAACTCATTCGATAGTCTCTATAGTCTCTCCAACCTAGAAAATCCCTCATTCAATGCCAACAAATCTTTGTTTCTTCAAAATGCATCCTTCTTCAAACGCCAATTGAGAGGAAGTAACAGAGACAGTCAGAACGACTGTACATCTACTGGGTTATTCTCCAAATACCTACAACTATCAGTGTGAATCCAGCAGCCAGCAACTCCATCTGGGTCTCTCACCTAGGTGGCAGCAACTCAGGACTGTCATCTGCTGCTCCCCAGACACATTAGCAGGAAGCTGGACTGGAAGCAGAGGCAGGTGGCAGCTGATCCCAGATACTCCAGTTAGGGATGTGCTGTTCCAAATGGTGGCTTAGCTCACCATGCCACAGATCTGCGTCCACTTTTAATTTTTATTTTTGTGAAAACTAAGGTTTTATGTAGATATGTATCCTAAAAGTTACTTGAATTTTAGATACACAATATTCGCATCTATATACAGAAATGGTTGAGTTTTAAATTTCAATTTGATTTAATGTATTTAATATATTAACTTCTACTGATCTGTCTGTGAATCAGTTTTAGGCACAGTATTTCAAACATGTGTATATGCATGAGTTAACACCCCAAGAAATTAGTTTTTCCTTTCTCCTTTTTAACTAAATACAAATGAAGTAAGAAATTTAATGCAAGTTCAGAATTCAAGCTGTAGTTGAGAATTCATAACATATTCCAAAGGACTCTATGGTAGGCGCAAACTAATTTTCCATATAGGAACACTAGAAATTTTCTATTTTTCAAACTTCTGCAATATCAATTTACAAAAACAATGTAAACAAAAATATTCTTAATATTACATGCAGATCAAGAAAAAACAAATAGGTAAAGAAAATGGGAGAAAATTTCAAAAATATCTTTGGTATACAGAAATCACTCAAATACTAAGGCTTAAATGTAACACTTTAAGCATTAAGTAAAATAAAATCAGCAATATAGCTATAAGTATAAAGAATATTTCTGGGAGAACACATTGGAAATTTATATTGCACAGTGAATATAAATTCATACTAAGGATACCTGCATCAAAGGATATTTTGCTTCTACAGGGCTTCCAAATCCATTGACGCCCATAAAGCTGGTGCTGAAATAGGAATCTGTGAGACCTGTATCAGTTAAAGTATTCCCATCCATGCCAGGAACTGAAAGAGAAGAAAAAGCAAAACATTTAAAGTTATTTAAGAGGGCAAAATATAAATTTCACTTCTATATTGTTAAATAAGCTTAAAGTTTCAAATCTTAGCACCTTTACCAATTTATAACTAAACACAGGGTTCAAGTAAAACTGGCTCATTTCTAAAACTTAAACAGCTAAAGTTGACTAATTTCTTTCCACAGCAAGTTTATATGAACCACTTAGCAATGACCAAAGAATCCACAACTAACTTTCTAGTTTCCAATCAAGTCTCCTTTCTTCAACAGAAGAACAGTAGACTATACACCACTGCAATTTATCCTGTGAATCAAGCTACATTAAGCAGGTGAGTTTCTCTGGACTGGTTCTCATAACACACCTTTGACTCACACTAACTCGTAACGTAGGGAGGAAAATACTGCAGTAATCGCACCTAGACAGAGTTCAGTAGTACTGACAGCTGTCTATTTTCAGACAGCATAATACAGAAGGTTTGTAAAACTGGTAGGGCAAAACATTGTACTCTCCTATCAAAGTCTTGGACAATCTGTTTCAGGGTTATTTTCTGGGAAGCACTCAATATGCAGCTGTTTTATACATTGTTAAGTACAAGGCTTTCCCACTCACCAACAAACTGAGCTGCAACACTGCCCTTTACAAAGCAAGGCCCCTGAGAAGTCCTCACACCTCCCAATAAAGCAGCAAGTCTGAAAAATGATGACTGGGGGATGCAGGGTGTTTTTGGAAACCGAAGTGGTAGTTCTATGTTCGTCCTGGAGTTCTAACATACTTCCCTGAACCTGACTCCTGGCTTCCAATCAGCTCAGTGAAAACATTGCCCAAAGTAAATTTCTGGGGGAGGGATTATGGGTGCTGCTTCTAAGGTAATTTCAGAAGACAGCAATAAATGAACAGTGCTGAGTTTGTCCTGTGGGATTCAGAGGTAACTCTGCCTCAGTTTCCCTAATTCAGAAAACAAACTTGTGAGGAATCAATAAGAGAAAAATGAAAAGAGGACTTGGCACATGGCAGGAGCTCAAGTAAGTATCTTTCCTTCCCAGTGAGTGGCTGCAGGGCACATATCTGACCACTCAGAGCTGAGTGAGGGCTTCATGGCTGCCTCAGCTGGCACAGCTAAATGGGGCTGTGACTTGGATGGGACCTCTCGGAAAGATACTTGGCCAAAATCTTTTCCCACATTCTGTAACGCACTTAGGACACATCTTCTTCAGACACAGAGGAAATGGTTCCTTCCAGGATTCCATGATGATCTATCCTGTTTTGTGTTTGAGAGCTGCTCTGTTGGCCCACACCTTTTCCTAGCCCCTTACCCAGAACCTGGTCGCCATCATGCTCACCCCACCGGGGTCCGGCAGTGCTTGCAATAGGCAGAACTCAAATTCAGAGTTGGACAATTCAAAGCGTCAAGCAAAAGGAAAACACAACAGTCAGCAAAGGATCCCGAGAGTGTTTTAGGAGAAAATATTGGGCTGGCACAGTGGTGCAGCATGCTGCTCCTCTTTCTCTGTGCAGTACCGGCATCCCATACGAGTGCCAGGTCATGTCCCAGCTGCTCTGGTTTCGATTCAGCTCCCTGCTTAAAACATGGAGAAGTAGGAGAGGATGGCCAAAGTCCACAGGGGCACACAAAAGCTATTGGTTCCTGGCTTCCGACTGGTTCAGCTCCAAGCTTATGAGGTCAGTTGGGGAGTCAGTTGGGTTTCAGCATATGAAACCCTCTCTCTCTGTCTTTCCTTGTTTCTCTGTAAAATCGGTTCTTCAAACAAAAAGAATTTGTAAAAGTAACATAATAATCCCTCAATTAGGCACTGGTTTCAGGCCTAGCTGTTCCACTTCCAATAGTTCCCTTCTACCTGGCAAGATAGCAGAAGATGGCCCAGATACCTGGGTCCCAGCTAACACGTGGGAGCCCCAGCCAGGATTCCCAGGTCCTGGCCCACACACGGCTGTTATGGCCATTGGCAAATGAACCACAAGATAGAAAAAATTATCTTTCTTTCTCTACTTCCTTCTCCTTCCCCTCTCTCCCTGTGTGTGTGTGTGTGTGTGTGTGTGTGTGTGTGTGTGTGTGTGTTGTTCTTTCAAATAATTAAAAAAAAAAAAAAAAAGAAAGTCCCCTGACCTATGAGGTTCAAGGAGCTTCTGGATTGGCAAACACCTCTAAAAGCCAAGAGAGTGCACATCCAACTTCAACAGACAAGCTCCTTTGCTTGGGACCCATGAAGACTGAATCTATCTAGCCTTCCATCTATTACATCTGTACCCTATTTTTAATAAATAAATATGTTTCCCCCAAATTCTGTGCATGAGCTTGTAAGCTATCAAATCTGTAGAGGGCTTGTTAGGAACCACCAAAAGATAACCACGCCAGAAAGAAGTGCATACAACCTGGGTGCCATTACTTTGCAACTAGCATATGAAGTTGGGAACAGTGTTCTGGGACTGAGCCTGTAACCTATGGGATGCACACTAACTCCAGGTACTATTCTCAACTGAATTGGAAGACATCTAGGTGTTACAGGAGGAAAACTCCACACATCTGTTGTCAGATATACAGGAGAGAGAGAAGAGGAGCGATTTTTATTTTTACTTCATTCAAGTGTAGTAACAACTTACAATGTAAAAAGAGAACACATTTTTATTTATGGTACAATAACTATGTGGGCTTCCACATAAACAAATTTTCTACAAGACTGAGTAAATATGTAAAAACATTAACAGTCTGGGATTACTTGGGTGATTGAAAGGAAGTAGTTTGGGTCTTTCCTCCTCCAACTTTTCTAGTAACTATTTTGAGAATAATAACATAACAAGCAGCATGAGGGGGAGAAGTCCTCCTATTTCATCAACACACTTAGGCACCCACTCTTTGCACTCTCCTAATAAAGCCGAATTACTGGTCCAAAATAGAGTATAATTCTAGACTCGAATTATTATTTCACAGCACTTTTATTTCAAAGGATTTTCATTTCAAATCAGACTTTCTTCTTATCTTGTATTTTATATAAACCAATAAAACAGAATGTTTATTGAGGCTATAGTCAATGTGCTATTTTATTTTAAAAATGAGTACAAAGAGAGCAGTTCTGAACGAATCTGATGTGGCCCAAGTAGGGGATCAGTGAGGGACAGGACACTAAGAACTGCCAACACGCAAGCCATGTACCCCACAGGAACCCCAGAGTGGCCTAACTCAGCAGGCTAAGGATCTGACACACGTGCCTTCCACCACGCAACTACACCTCACTTCACAGACACCGGAGACCAGGTTGCATTCTTGGTAATCCAGTCCAACCTTGCCTCTTTAGGCTTCCATCACTCGGGCCCTGCCACAAGCACCCAAACATCCTGTAAAAAGGACAATTACAGCCTGGATGAGAGCCACCCTCCCTAACAAGTTTCCTGCATTCATGTTTGAGTGTGAATAACCTTTTGACTTTCAATAAATCTTGCTTTTCTATTCACTCCCATCTGCATCTCCCAGTTGTATTCCCACACACAGAAGAAGCTGGACCAAGTTCACCTAAAGGATATCTCAAGCCCCACATAACTTGGCTATTCTTACCTCCATAAAACAAACAAAAAGCACTACAGGTGCTTTGATCATAACTTTCCCAATCTCTAGATTGTGAGAAATGAAATTCTGTTCTTTATAAAGATTCACAGTAGCACCAGCATCCCAAATGGGTGCTGCATACGGCCCTGCACCCATGAGAGACAAAGAAGCTCCTGCCTCCCAGCATCAGAGGAGCCCAGTTCCAGCAATTTGGGAAGAGAATCAGAGGATGCAAGATATTCATTCTCTTTGTCTCTCTCCCTGATGATTTCAAGTAAAGGAAATTCTCAGCCCAGCTAGGCTGTAGACTAGCAATGTATTTTACAGAGAATAATGAGGGTGTGTCAAGATATGTGATAAAGATTATCTAAGATACAAAGAAGCCAATAGTTATGCAGTAGGACAATAGAATGATACTCCTGGGCCCAGCGCTATAGCCCAGTGGTTCAAGTCTTCACCTTGAACATGCCAAGATCCCATTTGGGCACCGGTTCGTGTCCTGGCAACCCTGCTTCCCATCCAGCTCCCTGCTTGTGGCCTGGGAAACCAGTCAAGGAAGCCCAAAGCCTTGGGACCCTGCCCCCGTGTGAAAGATCCGGAAGAAGCGCTGGACTCCTGGTTTCAGATTGGCTTAGCTCCAGCCGTTGCACTCGGGGAGTGAACCATCACTTGAAGATCTTCCTCTCTGTCTCCCCACTCTGTATATCTGACTTTCTAATAAAAATAAATTTAAAAAAAAAGAAAAGAAAAAAGAAAGAAATGATGTCCCCATTTCAAGTATCATCAAAGCTGCCATTCCCATCATAGCTCCAGAATGACAGTTTCTTTTTAATTAACTTATTTATTATTTAAAAGGCAGATATACAGAGAGAAGGAGACACAGAAAGATCTTCCATCTGCTGGCTCACTCGCCAAATGGCCATATCGTTGCAGCTAAATCAATCAGAAACCGGGAGCCAGGATCCTCTCGCAGGTCTCCCACATGGTGCAGCACCTATATGGGATGATGCAAAGCTATTATGCAGCCAGGGACGTGAGTCATTCTTAGCTGCTTTCCCAGGCCATAAGCAGGGAAGTGGACTGGAAGCACAGTGCCCATATGGCACTTGAAGATGGAGAATTTGCATGTTGAACAACCATATTGGCTACAAAAATCTTAGGGTCCTTTTTTTTATTGGAAAGTCAGATTGCTAGAGAAAAGAAGATACTGAAAGACTTTCCATTCGCTGGTTCACTCCCCAAGTGAACACAGCAGCTGCAGCTGAGCTGAACTGATTTGAAGCCAATCCGAAGCCAGGAGCTTCTTTTGGTCTCCCATGTGGGTACAGGATCCCAAGGCTTCGGCCGATCCTCAACTGCTTTCCCAGCCTACAAGCAGGGAGCTGGATGGGAAGTAGAGTGGCCGGGATACATACTGGCGCCCATATGGG